TCAGTATTTTTTGTGATTGCCAGTATTGCGTCTTTTGTATTGAAGACACACCCGTCGTTTAGGATCCCGTCAATTGCGGGTGACCCTTTGTCATTTTTAGCTTTACTGTTTCACCATTCATCAGCCACTGTAACAGATTTTATAGAAAGGAAACTTGACAATAATATCTATGCTTATAACTAAAAATACCATTCTTGTTTTTTTTTAGAACGCGGTTATCTTTCTGGTTTCGGTGATGAAGAAAACTTTACTCCAGTACAAACTTTTAAACAAAACACTGGAACGCATCCAGCATTTTTTTACATCGATCTCATTTGTAACTTATACTTTACTGTTGAACTGGTTAGTATTGTATCTGAAGAGACAAATGGCCTATCTAATACTTTGTTTTGTTGTTGTTTGTACGTTGCACAGGTTGCTCTTGAGGAACTAATAGTCGTTATTGATCATCATTTTGTTGATTATAGGCTAAGTATAATTCAAATAGGTTATGGCTCAAAAAGGTACGAAGTTTTATTCTTAACTCTTGTTTCTTTTATACTTTAGGCTGCACGAATGATTTTTGCTCCTTCGTTAAGTCGATTTTTATGCTTTCCAATAACACTAATTGATCTGTCTGCTACGGCATCATTTTATTTGGATTGGATGGCCTCTCTTTGGATTGACCAGCAGAAATATCCTGATTCAACAGATTTTCTTTCCATTCTCTGTATTCTTAGGCTATTTAAATTGACGCAACATTTCAGTGGCCTCAAGATCCTCATTCAGACTTTTAAGGTATTAATTTTGGACTTATTTTGTAGTTGTTTTTACCACTTTTTCTCAATACTGTGAAGTACCGTATACTGTTAGAAGTAAAGGGTTGATCACAGTACGCAGAATACACCGTATGCTATATGAGCCATAATCGCTTCAAAACCAATCTAGTGTGATTTGTAATTGTTCAAATCAAAACCTTTACGTTTAAAAAGTATTTTTAATTCGCTTAGTTTTATTTTTGAATATTCTCAGAAATAACGTTAATTACAGAGAATAAATCATGATTTCAAAAAGAAAAGGAAAGAAAAAAAAGAATGTTAAACGGTGCATTTAAAATTTTTCAGTTGGTTTGTTGCTCTTCATTCATGCACTCCAATTTATTTTTTTCTTTCATCTTTAAAAGCAGAAATTGTTGCCCAAAATTAAAACTAAATCTCTTTTTTTTTGAAGGATTACAGAAAATTGAATTTTAGGCATCAGCTCAAGAATTAGCACTGCTTGTATTTTTTGTTATTCTTGCAATCGTAATATTTGCTGCGTTAGTGTATTATGCGGAACGGATTGAACGGAATCCACATAATCAGTTTACCTCGATTCCTGCTGGTCTTTGGTGGTTCGTTTTTACTCTTCTCATATTACACCGTTTTTGGTGCTCATTTTCTTTTGCCAGTTGATGGGCTTTTAGTACTCAGGAATAATTAGAACTGATGTTTAGGGCCATTGTTACCATGTGTACTATAGGATTTGGCGATATGGTAAGTGGCATTTCATTCTTCTTACAAATAGTTCAGTGATTTTGGTTCACTAATGGTCTAGTCAAATTTTGCTATTTTTGTTGAAATCTAAATTAAAAGATTTGAGAGCAAAAAGCAAACCGTTTTGCTGGAAACCTGTCAAAAGATTTGGAGCTTATTTGTAACTATTTGTTCGTCTTCGCTGTTATATTTCGTAAGGTTTTCTCTGTTGGCGATTGGCGAACACAATAAAGCGAAATAAATTATTGGATTATTGTCCCGAAAAAACTTAAAGTTTTTTGGAAAAAATTGGCTTTCAAAGAATTTCATTTAGTTGCACAAGAAAAGCACAAGTCGAAAAACATTTGTTGGCTTTCTTTTGGTCGTTGTTGTCGTTTTATTTCTCCAGTCTTTTATTCGTCTGATTGAAGGTACCTAAAACTTACTTGGGAATGTTAGTTGGTTCAGTATGTGCGTTAATGGGTGTACTGACTATCGCATTACCGGTCCCTGTTATTGTTGCAAACTTCTCAAACCTCTACTCGCACTCTCAGGTTCATTTTCCTGCAAATTTCACGTTGACGTTATCACATTGGACAGGTAGTAGAATAGTTTTATCTGCTAGTCACCATTCATTTAGCGGACGGAAGTCCCTATTTTTAAAATTTTAATTTTCACCATTGATCTGTCTAATAGGCTTTAAGAAACTACCAGTAGAGCAGTGAAGCAGGATGCGTAAAAACCTACTCTCTTGAATAAGAAAAAGAATGTATTTTTTGACAATAATTTTTATAAAAAATTCTTTTAATTTTGTTTTTTTTCTTTTTTTTGCGTACTCAGAAGGTCAGATACTCGTTGCGTTTACCGTATCAAATCTTGATGTTAACATAAAACAGTTTCACAGTACTCTATTTGATTGATATTGACTGGAGCTAGTGTTACAAGTCGCTTGCAGCTTCAACTATAATCTTATGTTACCGGTTTTGTCTAAAGCGGTCTCAACTTTTTTCTTTTTAATCTGCACTTTGTTAGAAGCATTATTTGACACTAGCGGTTTTTATTACTTTTTATTGTCGAAGAGGTTTCCAATACATCTACGTCGTAACCTGTTTACATGTTTGTTTTTAGAAACGATAGCTTTGTTTATTTTTGTCTACTGTGAGTCTGTCAGAAACTGTTAGACAAGATATATTCAAGTTTTTTATTTTGGAAGTAACTTCCAGGCTCGTGCAAAGCTGCCACGGAAACGGCGTCGTGTTCTTCAGGCTCATGAGGTGAAACACGGAGTAATTAAAGGAAAACCAAGAAAGAAATCTAGTTAGTTGTTTTGTTGCTAAGTTACTGATCACTGTTATGTCTCATCACCAACACTTAGGTATCGAGTTATCCAAAGAATAGAAAGAGAGAAGAAAAGAAAAAAAAAAGCTCAACAACCTAACAAATTTGAAGTGTTATGTGACAGAACACAAAAACAAAACCAGTCGTCATTTGTTTTCAGCATCTGCAACTCCGCCACAAATAGCAATATCAATAAAGCAACAAAAATTATCTGGATCAACTGCAGCAAACAGTTTTTATCACACTGAAACATACAATGGTAAATCAAGCGATAAAGTACTGTACACAAAGATTGTCTGATGATAACCAGTACTGAGAGGAACAGTTACAGTTCAGTGCTAATGTAAAAGATATGTTACAATTGCACAAAAATACCAGCAAACATTATTTGGAAGACGAAAATAACTTCAACGGTTATTCTGTTGGATTAATGCAGTTTGAATTAGTGAACGGTTTTGGGGTTATGATTATTTGAGCTAGGGTTTCTGCTTGAGCAACATAAGTATGAGGAACGATATCGGGACAACTAGGCATCTAGTTTATTTCTACGCCTGTTCATTTATTTAACCGTTTATTCATTCCTCCGTTCGTCCATTTTTTATGTCCAGATGATCATTTGTTCTTCCATTCAACCGTTATTCAGCAATGCGTCATCTATTCGTCTGTCTGTTCGTCAAACGTTGGTACTTTAGCTGTATTATTGTTGGTTTTCTAAGTCAGTTGTTGTTGTTGTTTATGTTGCTTTTCAAGCGTCAACAGCACTGATAGTTGCCGATTTGATGATACTCATCAGTGTTTAAAAAAATCTTTACTTTTTTTTTTTCACAAAAGAAATTAACGAATAAGTAAGAGTAAAGCGAAAGATGCACAACTGCTTTATACAAAAATTTGAGAAAGTCACAGGAAACGGCTATTTTTTACCAGTTTTATCGTCTATTTATTCACAGCATTAAATTTATGACTAAAAGGGATCTTTTTATAATTTGTATAAAACTCATATCAAAAAATGTAGTCAACATGTTTTGTACGGGTAATTACTTTTTTTTTTTTTTTTACATTTTAAGAATGTCTTTTAAAAAAATGGAAGTGATATTTTGATTATTTACGACACCAATTCTTTTTTTTTTTTTTAATGGACCAGATTTCTTCAATATTTTTTTGAAAATTAAATAAGGATTTATTGTAGTTTGACATCTGACCAATTACCTATCGTCTTACATTTTTTTAGTAAGATTTTTTTCCTCTTTACAAATTAACTTTAGAATTTTGGTTTTTAAAGTAAAATTTTTTTTGTAAACAAAATATAGAAACCTTTTATTTGATTTGACTGTTATAATTCAAAAATAAATGTAGTTTTTAGTAGTATTATTTATGGTGGTCAAAAGCAGACAATCACTTTTAACGGTGATGCTTTTAGGCTTGTGTTTTATTAGTAGATATTTAGAGCTGTTGTATTAAATAGGTTGTTTGTGTCATCTTTAGACTTAGAACTGTATTACGTATTTCTAGTTCAGCTATTATTTTTAATTACTTTAATGATATTACAAGTTGTTTTGTTATAATTTTAAGAAATTGACTGTCGGTCAAATAAGTTAGAGATCTCTTTTAACTGACTAGAAGTGTGGCTGCAAATGACTGAATGACTAATCACTGTCTATTTAATACAAATTAATTTGTCGTGAGACGGTGAGTCATTTGATTACCATTTATCAGATGTAGACTGATGTATTCTTTTCAATATCAGTTAGGTAATTAGCCATTTTTATTGCATTAGCGATAGCATTAAGTTTAGGAGTATTATTTGCTGTCAAACATCCAGAATTGCTTAATGGTTTTTCGGTCATAAAGTGGTAAAAACACAATTGCTTTCACATTATCAAAATAATGTTAACAATAAAAATTGATCTGTTTGCCACTACTGGCAAAAAATTTTACTCGATTTTAAAGCAAACTATTTTTGGTTTCTTTTTATTTGGTTTTAAATGAGATAAAAGTAAAGAAAAAAATGTTTTTTTCTTGGCATTTTGTGACTGATAGTTGAGCGCAGCAAATAGCAAATTATTTGTCTAATTAGTTCTTCTCCTCTGCTAACTTTCTTTCTCGGAAGCTACTGTACGCAGAACAAAATACTGAAATGGAACAGAAGTTTTTTTGAAGAAGAAAATGAAATAAATAAATAAATAATTATTAGTAGTTTTTGGAGGGGCACAAAAAAAAAGCAAGAAAACGAGCAAAAAAGATATGGGAACAAAATAACTTGTATTTTGATAAGATAAATACCTATGTGTATAAGAAATTTTCTTCCTCTATAGTTCTTTCTTTTTCTTCTTCTTCACTTTCAGCTTCAATTCAATTTTCAGTTTTGCTTATTTTATTTTATTTTATTCATTTATTTTTTTATTTTTTTTCTTGTTTCTACTCATTTCTGTGGGAATTAAATAATGGTGCAATTTCTCCTTAGATCACTTTTCAACTATGTGGAACTAAATAAGCGGGCGCAGAACGCAAAGTTTTAGTTAAGAATTTAACGTTTTGTAAGCATTTCTGGTTTATTTCTAAAAGTTAGTTAAAAGCTCTTTTTTTTTTTTGTTTTCTAAGCAACATAAAGAATAAAATTTAGTTTTTTTTTTTTTTTTTTTGTTAAAATATTTCTGTGACT